CAGCAGTTGATATTTTATTCAGTAACAGGTTTCGTGGTATAACAGTCATGCAACTACGATAATCACCTCCTACTGCACTCCAGCAGTTGATATTTTATTCAGTAACCGGTTTCGTGGTATAACAGTCATGCAACTACGATACTCACCACCTACTGCACTCCAGAAGTTGATATTTCATTCAGTAACCGGTTTCGTGGTATAACAGTCATGCAACTACGATAATCACCACCTACTGCACTCCAGAAGTTGATATTTTATTCAGTAACGGTTTCGTGGTATAACAGTCATGCAACTACGATAATCACCACCTACTGCACTCCAGAAGTGGATATTTCACTCAGTAACCGGTTTCGTGGTATAACAGTCACCCCTTTCGTTTGTTTGTAGTTAAGTGACACAAAGTTACACAATGGGCTATCTGTGCTCTGCCCACCACGGGTATCGAAACCATGGTTTCTAGCGTTGTAGGTCCGCAGACAATACCGCTGTGCCATTGGGGGGGGGGCAGTCACCGTTTCTGGAAATTTCAAAACCAGCATTTCTAATACGTCATAATGCGGACTTGGTAATTAGCAGTAATGTAGAAATTTAAAACCGAAATAAAAAAAGAAAATGACATTAAGCAGTGATTTCGTATTACATCTTATATAACGCAATTCGTGTAGCTTTTTTAATGGTACAAGAGTTTTTGTTTTGGCACATACACATATGTATAATATATAAATTTACGTGTGTAAACATATTTGTTACAAATTTCCTTGACTTGGCTGTTTTTTTTGTTGTTGTTCTATCTATCTCTTCACGAAGAACGCACGTGTGCCCATAGCGGGCGGTGATGTACAAGGTCAAGTCGCCCACGGGGTACAAAGTTGTTCTACACAGAAACTAAAACAGTGGGTGTTGACAAACCCGGCCAACTAGCAGGTGATAAGTACCCTCATAAGGGTAAGCGGGCCTTTATTAGTAGAAAAAATTTTAATATCAATTCTCACAAAGAGAAAGGTTACGCGGAAAACTTCCCCTATGTGCCCATATAACCAGAAGTAAGCTCAATCCGGACAGAGGGTCTGGCTAGAAATATAACTCATTTCAAACGAGTTATATATATATACATGCAATACAAAGATTCTGTTAGTCTTAGCTTTTGTTGTTGGTGGTTTTTTTTGGTAAACATAAGAACAACTAATATTAGTTCTCTCAAAAATATGAATCAATATTAGATCATGGCCACTTTCCCGGTGGCTCAGCGGAAAATCTGAGGGCTTCGAACACTAGAAATCGAGTTTCGATATCCGTTGTAGGCACAGAACAAATAGTCCATTATGTTGCTTTGAGCTTAATAACAAAAGTATTATGACCGTATGGTGTATTCTAATTCAATGTTGCGACTGGTCCTAATTGTTTTAAATGTTTTATTTTAAAACATACATTTAAAAACATCCCAGTAAATTAATGTAGCTACATCTCTGGGGACGATGGGGGAGGGGGGGGCAACACATAAATTGAAGACAAGAAAATCAAATATAGGTAAAACCATGATTATGTAATTCTTTTTCTTTTCTTTTTTAATGTCGCCGTTAGGCCTAATTCTGCAGCTTCAACCTTAAAACCCTAAAAGTTTAATGTGGAAGGAGCTATAAGAGGCTTAATCTGAAAATACTTAAAAGACTTAAAAGTTAAATTTTCCATTTCACCACAACACCCTGTATGGTTCTTGATTGTGGTCCATTATAATTTTAATGTTCTAAAAGAAAAAAAACAACCTTAAGAATGTTGAATAATCGACCCTGTATAAAACTAACTATCTCTACTGTATGTTATCAGACAGAGGTAATTCACCGACGTAATAATCAGTGGCGTAATACAGGAGCTATATTTACATACCTTATCCATTTTCTCTGTAAGTTGTCTTCTGAGATGGGCTACCAGCACTAGACACTGTGAGCCGGACACTCGGACACTATCCAGTCCACCTTAGAATTCCTGTTCAGTAACATCTTCCAATGGTAAAATCTTAGTCTAAGTATTTCGGCTTAGCCATGGCTGCCATCTTACTCCTTATCGATCAATCAATGCGAACCCGAGCGACTCCAAGTGCTACACTTCTGCATCGTATCACGCACTAACACATTGAAACCCGTGATATACAGTCTTCACGGAAGAGCGGCGAAGTGACCGACGGCATCCGCCGGAGTTATACACGGCTGAACGTACAGAAGAGAAAAGAAATCGTACGGTAAGACTTCTGTGAAGTTATAGCAGTTTGACAATGAGTATTTTTTTAACCAGTGATACGGGATCTTTTCGTTGTCCAATCACCCCATTATCAAGTTTTCGTGGTGTTTCAGATGAAATTATAGCAGTTTGACAATGAGTATTTTTTTAACCAGTGATACGGGATCTTTTCGTTGTCCAATCACCCCATTATCAAGTCTTCGTGGTGTTTCAGAATTTGTCAACAAAGTCATACAAGAGTATGACTCTGCGCATGTAACATGGAGAGGGAAGGCAAGCTAGTCAACAACGCTCACTATCAACTCTTGGGCTGCTCTGGCCCGATCGAATAGCGGGGTTTGACTTTCACTTAGAGCACACTCATGAAGAGCGAGTTTCGGCGGTTAATATAACGAGCTATGAACCCTCGGATTCACTGTCTGGGCACACTAACCACCAAGGCCACGCCCACCTCATCAAACAACTGCTCAGAAACGCCTTGTAATAGTACAAGGTTCTGATATGTCCTCAATACTACGGAAACTGTATTAACTCGAATATACTTCGTTGAAAAGATTAGACATAATAATAGCTTAACCCTATCGGCTTATAATCACGTTTTACAAGAATACTTATGCACCAAATGTATTGTGGGTCCATGAGATTGTCGACTACAGCGCCCCTAACAACATACGAGTTACAGAAACAAATATATATACAAAAAATACTCCTATATCCCATTTACTCCCATCTTTTATGTACAATAAATAGGAATACCAGCGGTGAATAGTGAGTCTTACCTTTTTAACCCCCAAACTGCCGACTCATTTTATCGTTCACTATCGGTGGGGTCCACATATACGGAGTAATTTTACGTTTTTCAGTGTGCAGTGAAATCAGAAATGGAAATTAAAATACCGATCTTTTATGTACAATAAATAGGAATACCAGCGGTGAATAGTGGGAGTAAATGTGATATAGGAGTATTTTTACGTTTTTCAGTGTGCAATGAAATCAGAAATGGACATTAAAATACCGGAAGTTTTATTTCTTTGATATTCGTTATTATTGGTTATTCTGTACAAAGTATCTTTAGGTAGTCCTAACCGAAGTGCAGAATACTTCGACCGGAAATGACGAAATACTGTCCTCCAAGAATGAAGTTCGAAACTTTAATAAAACAGTCTCGGTGAACAAAGCGATCAATATACTCCACATAGATAGTTAACAAATTAATAATCATATTTTAAAAATTTTGTATAGTAATTTATTATTTCTTTAAATAGTTTTATTTTTTTCGTAGTCGACACACTTTCTTAAGTAAGATGTTTGAGTTTACTTTAGAGGTAATGACGTTATAGCGGTGATGACGTCATAGCGGTAATGACGTCATAGCCGACATATTTCTCTGTAATTGGTTTTGCAAGTTAATAACGTTAATAGGAAAATTATAATTTTCTGAACTGATTGAAAGTAAAAATTCTAAATAATGCTTATTATAAACGAAACAAACATTAAAATATTACGAAGTATTCATACATAAATACATTGAAATCACATGACGTACAGAGTGATAACGCACTAGAAACAATGATTTAACGCGGGTAACATTATCGTGGAAATTTTTTTTTGTCGGTTTCAAAATTTTGCGCATAACTACATAAAGGCTATCTGCGCATATCCGACAGTTTAGAGGAAAAGAGGCTAGTCAGCGCCACCTACTTTCCACTCTGGTCTAATCGAATAAAGAGACTTGACCTTCACTCTTATAACACACCTGCGACTTCAAAGTGCGGATCGCATTTTTTTACGGAAACGGGACACGAAACATTATTATTCTGATTCACAGTTCGGGCGCAATATATCCGTAGGCCACACCCAGTCCTCCTACAAGGTGGGTTTTTTTGTGTGTTTTTTTTACTTTGAAAAGGAAGGTGTTGTGAGAGTTAACGGATGGTGGTGGAAGATTAAAAGGTAGAGTACATACTCGAAAAATTACCCATCATTCCTTATAAGTACTAATATGTCTAATTTGATTGTACTGTAAGACAACTAAGGTTTTAATTGTTAAAAGGTCTCGATTGTTATAAGACAACTAAGGTTTTAACTTTAGGAAATACTCCTTCAGCGTTTGGGTACGTTAACCACTAGGCCACGCCCAACTCTTCTCAGGGGGGGTAGATAACTGTTTTATTTTGAATTATCTTACTAGCCTCCAACACTCAACAAAAAAAAAAATAATTTTGTATTAACAGGCAAGTGATAAGTTTCCGAGTATACAGGAAATAATGTTAAATTTCTGTAGTGCATACTGATGTATAGATTGTTTGTAGTTATGCACAAAGCTACACAATGGGCTATCTGTGCTCTGCCCACCACGGGTATCGAAACCATGGTTTCCAGCGTTGTAAGTCCGCAGACATGCCGCTGTGCCACTGGAGACTAGTGTGTAGAAGACTCACTGTCAGTTTCGATTTATGTTTTAGGGAACGCACCTGAAGAAGCAGTAAAGCAATACAAAATAACATACTACAACAACACAAAATAATATACTACAACAACACAAAACATACTACAACAACAAGAATAATAACACAAAATAATATACCACAACAATAATAATAAGAACACAAAATAACACACTGCAACAACAAGAACAACAAACAACATTTTGGTGTTATAAGGTCGTTTATATCTAGTAGAAAATAATGTTGTTGCATTTGAAATTTTATTTTAAAGTTGTTGTTTGTTAAATTTCGAGAGTTATCTGCCTTAGCTTTCCATAATGTTGAAGTAATACACTAGAGTTAAGCAGCTTCAGCGCCATCTTCTCGTTGCTAATCTAATTCCACCACCCCTCTTATAACGTACCCACGGCCCCAAAGTGCGTTGCGCATTTTTTTTATTTATTTTTTTTTGTTTGTTTTCTTAGTGGTAATGGAGCGCGAACCGTGGAACTTCGGATCCACAGTCCGGCACGTTAACTATTGGGCCGCTTACTTTAAAGAAAGGTGAAGAAAAACGTTTCCCAAACACATTAGTACTAAAAACAGTGGTTCAGCGATACGTCTGAACACTAAAAACCAGGTTTCGATACACGTGATGGGCACAGCTTTGCGCTTAACGACAAACAAACAAAAAGCACTCAGAATGAAATTCAACAACTCCGTAGTTAAACATCAGTTTCAACGTTATTATATTGTTTAAATTCTAGTAAGGCCTGTACCGTTTTTACACGTGATCATACTAGTATTAAAATGCGCAGTTAAATGTTTATAACTAGTATCATACTAGTGTGAAAACGTTAACTGTGAACAAACGCCATTACATTATTAACATATATTTTGAATCTTTTTTAAGATTTCGGTTCATTGAACTCGTGCAAAAAAAAAAAAAAAAATGATATCATAATACTGTATAAGTGTTTACACAGTATATCTTATTTGTCATTATATATATATATGTATTGGATAAGGTTACTAATTACAGTGGCTTAGCACTAAGCCTAAAAACTTATAACGTTAAAAAAAACAAAAACAAAACAGGTTTCGATATCCGTGGTGGGCGCAGCACAGAGAGTCCATTGTGTAGCTTTGTGCATAACTACAAACGAACTAATTACAGATAGATGTTTCGTTCTCGATATATGAAGATGGTCAGAGCAAGTGTATTAAATTTATGTATTTCAAACTGGTTTCTGTTGTTGTTGTTGTTTTTTGTTGTGCCTTTACTTAAAGAATACAAAAAGTCAATGTACCATATAACTACTATTAGGCGTTTAGATATGGAAAACATTTTAGGAAGAAAAGTTGGGTGAGAACATTTAGTCTTCTCCGTTTCATCGTCGTATACCTGACGATATATCCAGCAATTCATTTTCACAAGGATTATATAGTCTCGTATACGTTTATATCAATCCCCCCTCACGTAACACAATGCAGCACCTCACTCTATGAATGAGAGCACACGCCTTATTCTCGGGCTTACTAATTTCATTTGTATTTCACATATGTATGGCAAAGTTACTAAGACTACCTGCCGCCATCTCTTATTTGTTTGTTTGTTTTGAATTTCGCGCAAAGCTACACGAGGGCTATCTGCGCTAGCCACCCCTAATTTAGCAGTGTAAGACTAGAGGGAAGGCAGCTAGTCATCACCACCCACCGCCAACTCTTGGGCTACTCTTTTACCAACGAATAGTGGGATTGACCGTCACATTATAACGCCCCCACGGCTGAAAGGGCGAGCATGTTTGGTGGGATGGGGATGCGAACCCGCGACCCGCAAATTGCGAGTCGAGCGTCCTAACCACCTGGCCATGCCGGGCCCCGCCATCTCTAATTTTGAACTATTGACCAGATGAAAGGCAGTCAAGTCAGTAGCACCCTACCACCCACGCTAAGAGGTTGACTGTCGACTGCGGTGGACATTTTGTGTTATCGCACGAATTCGAACCCGGTTCGCCAGCTCTGAAACCCAGAGCTTTATCACGGGACCAGTCCGTGCTTCTACTAGAGTTACGATATTTTGTCGTTTAAAGAGGTTACACTAAAATTTCAGGCTTATGACGCTAAAATTCAAATTTCGATACCCGTGGTAGGCAGAACACAGATAGCCCATTGTGAAGATTTGCGTTTAACAACAACCAAAACAAAAAAAAGTGTCTTTAAAAATTAAAAAAAAATGTGAAAAGTAACTAAACGTTTATGATTTTCCTGCTGAGGGTTGTTTTTCCAAGAAACAAAAACTTCACAACATTATCTGCAGCTACATGATAATTATTTAGCTAACAAAATGTAAAACTCATCTAATTAGGCTTAATGAGGTTGGTAACGTTACGTTATTCGGGAGCGAGCTAGGAGATCGTGAGTGTTGAGTTGTGTAATGTATAAAAACTTTGGATGGAAATTAATAATTAAGAGATTAAAACAAAAAAAAACTTTAAGCTATTCGTTTAAAGTACCGTAAAAAATTTAAAAAAAAACGTCCCTGCTCTACTGCTGTAGAGAGTTTTGTATACGTAACGCCACATCATGCTCTGCGTCTCATAACGAGTAGTTTTTTTTTTTTAAGCTTCACGATCATTTTCTCGTTTTTTAAGCGTGACCAGTCAACAACTACTGTTGTTGTGAACCCTTAACTGGATTGTGTTCTTTTTCCCTCTCAGAAAAGTTTCGGTTTTATTTAAAAACGTACGTCATAAATAAGAGGAAATTAGGTTTATACAGATTTAGAACCTTCGGTTACTACTAGTATATGTATATAGCCTTTCTTGTTTAACTTCTCCCCTAGCGGACATTTTTTCGTCACTGTTATTTTCGCTAGAAACAGGAACCTGATAGTATTGTGTTTTTTGTTTTTTTTAGTCTCCTTATTTTGCTAAAAGTTAAACAATGTTTATTATTTTAATTACTATCTGCATTTACGAGAACATTCGTACATAAAACTAATGTCCATCGCGGCACTGATCTCCACCCCTTAAACTTTAGAATGTAACATTACAATAATGTTATTAATCAAGTATCAAAGTGTAATCGTATAACATCCACTTGTTTCATAGCATCTGTTACAGGCTCAGGCTTTTCTCCTAAGCTAGCTTTGGGTCTAGTAGAAACATGGCAATCAGGGGAGCTCC